GGTGCGGCGGGTTCGTCAGAAGTCTATTTATCATAATTTGCCTGCAAATTACTTTTTGCCCCACGCAGATGATGTTGTTGCCAACTCATGTTGCCAATTCGGAGTTTCAGGTACCTTGGCTGAAATGAGAACGCAGGCAGAGCAAATATGGCTGCCATTAAAGAGATAAACCCCACATAAAGATAAATGTACGGCCCCTCAGCTCAAGGATCCTTTACTCGCCTTTGGGTTTTGCTTGTGTGTGGCAGGCATAAGCGCACAATTTGTCTAGACAAACTCCTGCTTGACTTTGTTTTTCCATTTTTTTTGTTTTGCTCATATCTATGCTCTATCTATACCCTGAAATCATTAGCAAAGTATTCTGAATTTTGGGACATCAGGGAAAAAGCAAGAAAAATATGTAAACTAGATTTTGCATAAGATTTCTACATGATTTTAAAAGCTTTATTACAATACACTTTGTGTTTTTTAAACGTCAAAATTTATTCAAGCATTTTTTTATGGGTTGTGAGGTCTTTAAAGTAAAAAAGGGAGTTTTATTTATTTAATTATACATACTTCTTCTTTTATTTTTAAACTGTTTTTTTTTGACTGAATATTTGTGCAACCATGTGGACTGATGTAGTTGAATAACTATAAACATCGTTTTAAACTTTAAATTGCATTTTAGCATATGAACATTTATTAAATTGCGCGCTTTGTTTGAAGTCACATGCAAGCAATATTTCGTTGTATTTTATTGATTTTCAAAGTCAATTACATTTGATTTGCCAGATATTTGCATCCATTTGATAGAAATACAGTGTGCGGAAACTAGAATTTCAGTTTTGTGGTTGTCCAATTAGTGAAACATTTTTGGGAAGAGTATCAACTGATTGTTGAATATAATTGGGATAATTTCAGCACACGTTGTCTATATGCCCCATTTTTCTATACCTATTTCACCGCCACTCGGTGAGCTGTCATAAAAATTGTGAGATGTCACTGCCACATGAGTGTGAGCCATTTTTGTGCTGTTGTTGGATGCCAACACTCTGGCATTGTGCCTCTGCTGGCACCTTCTATTCGCCCCATTTGGTTGTCCTCCGTCATCGGGAACCGGGGTCCTTTATCCTCGCCCCCGCAGAGCCATTTGCCATTTTTAATTGTTTACCTGCAAAACAATGGGCGGACAACCTTTTGTTTTCCATCCAAATTCGATGCGATTCGAGAGTGCTCTGCAAAAAAAAAAGGAATAAAGAAAGAAAAATTGAGGGCGCAAATAAAAATTGGATTGCCTGCAACAGGTTTGGGGATAGAATGGAACGAAACGAATTAAAGCGGCACGCTTTAAGTTTTGAGGGGCCAAGGTCTCTCGATTGGGGGGCCTCTTGGAATTTTCGAGTTCGCTGATTTTGCCCAGCACATCATTTGTCTGCTGACTGGGCATTCATGAATCTGCATTTATTTTTGGGCCACCAATTCAACTCGCTTTCCCACTCTGCCCGACTCTGGGGAGCCATGTGTGCATGAATATAATTTCGGGTTATGGCCTGTAGGAAGGCATATCGGTTGGCATGTAGGAGCTATTAAAAGCCCCCTTCCCCCATGTCGACCCCAAGCGATATCCTGGTACCTTGGTCGACGTCTTTGTCTTCGGACTTAATGGTAATCCTGTGTGCTGGGGAGTGGTTGGGCAGTAAGGACGAGTCCAGCTGCTGGTCAGTGGGCGGTGCTGACGTTTGACATTGACTGGCTGATAATATAAATATCATTGTTGCTTGCACATAATTAAGTCGGACAGCCGACGAAGCTTTTCAACCACCCCATGCTTACAGTGGAGCAAATTATTTATTTAACTACAAATAAAACTATTAGGATAGTTATAGAAATTCTTTTAGTGGAAAAACTTAAGTGATTTTATTTTTATAAATATTAATGGGCTCCCGAATTTTCAATAAATATTATATTTTAGGTATTTATTTATTCATTTCAAGTATGGAACCAAATCAGTTTAATTAATTTCTTTTCGACTATTTTCTTAATCTTAAGTCAGAGAATAATTAATAAAAAACTTGCAATAAGAAAAAATAGTTATCTTTCAAAGTCAAAATTTTAAAATAATAAGTCTTTCTGTTATCAATAAAATTGAAATAATTTTCGGTGCTTATAAATTAAATGTTTTCACAGATAAACATTCACAGAGCAACACTGCGTATAAGTAATGTTCTAAAACACAAAATAAATAAATTTTATAGAATGCAATTTAAATTTCTCATTTATTAGAATTTTTATAACTTATTCCAAAATATTTTTGTTCTGGGCAATTCACATGTATCAGCATTTACATTGCTTCAAAGGACTTTCCGTTTTGATTCCTGGTGGGAGGGTTTCCTGTGGTTAGCTCTTAGGTTTTTCTGGTTTCAGCCACTGTATTATATTTGATTGTGTTTTTAGCCCTGCTGCCACTGGCTTTAAGTGTATTTGTGTGCGTGGCAGGGTGAGTGTGTGTGCTGGGTCCTGCGAAATAATGCGCCTAGTGCCAGCTCCAGTTGGCAGTCTGTTGGCTTTCAGCTTTGGTCGCTAATTAAGCCTGTTTATCGAAGTAAGTTAGCTGTTCAACTTACGCTCCACAGCCCCTCATCCTTTCTATACTAAGATGATCAGCTCAGTTTAGTTTTATCAGCTAACTAAATTAGCTGTGTGGTTGTGTCACCAGAGCAGCATTTGGAGCGCTCTTAAGTGCAATAATAAAGCGATTCTCGTAAATGCCGCAAAGCCTTCAAGTTCAGCTCTAATTGAGTAAATTATCGGGGGAAATGAAAATGGTTGGCCATACACATGTGGCACTGTCCTACATATGCCATACGAATTTTCTTGCTTTTGTGGTTCAGCACTGTGATTACACCGCATATCAGGGTGAATGTAAAAAGTGGCCTACAATGATTGCGGTTTGCTTTGCTGATGACAATTTATTAGCCGCCAAAATTAATTAAATGTCAACGCACAGCATCTGCAATGAAACGCTGTAAAAACCACAATTAAATAGCGACCAGATAGTTAAGATAAAACTATCAACCATCTGCCACGTGTACCCATTTCCCCATTTGGCTCCCCAAATAGTTGGTCGCTTTGTAAGCATTTCTGAACTCTACCTTTTGGCAAAAGTTTTCACCCTGCATGCAGTTTATTTGCTTCATTTAAGCTGCCAACTGCTAAATCGATTTTCATACTTGCTCTGCCAACTACTTTATCCCATGAAATAAATCGTCGATTACGCTTAAGTGGAACGAAGTTTAACTGCAGGAAAATTGAAACAATTTGTTTTATTTTTTAATATTGTCTCTGCCATTTGTATTTTTCTCATGTTTCTAAATTTGCAATAGAGTGCGAGTATCACGAAAAAGGCGTAAACATGAAAACTAAGCAAAGAAAAAAAAAACGTGAATGAAACTATTTCCGCTCCATTGGTTGGCAAATATTTGCTACATTTGTTTGTCATGAAAGCGGAAGAGATATCTAGAAGGCCCAGAAACTCATGACAATTGTGAAAAAGATAAATGTGCGCAGTGAAGCGCATGATTGTTAATATTATTACAAAGGATTTCTTTTTTTTAGTCTGAATTTGCAAAAATTTCATGCGGCCCATTGAATCCTGCAAAAAGTGCTGTAAAATTTCAACCGAGCTTGGACTGCAAGGGAATATCCTCTGCTTGAAATGTTGGGCAAACAGAAGGCCATGAATCAAGTTGAAGCCTGGAAACCCCTCGACAAACAAGCACTTCTGATCTCTCACTGAAAGTGATTTGCACTCTGGGGTCCGGCGTTTGTCCTCCGTATAAATGTTGCCCTTCCATGGACGAACTGGCTGGGCACAGTGTCCTCACATTTCCCATCGTTTGTCAGAAGGAATTAATGAGTGATTATCTTTCCCCTCCCCGCAAATTCCGCACCAACCGTTTTCACATAATCATATGCACACAAACGAGGAGCATCAGGTGCATAAGTCACAGGGCTTTTGTAACTGCAGGGGATGTGTGGGGATTCAACTATAATTAGCAATTAATGAAGCGCGCAACACAGAGATTATAAGGCATATTCACGAATTATACGCCTTCTCACCACCCAAATCAAATTGCACTGTGAAAAGTATTGAGTTCATAAATAATATTATAGCAAATTATATAATTAATGATTTGAACCTAAATAATAATATAGTTTATAGAGGCGGAATAATAGAGTTTCACTTGGATTAACTATTGCAATAGTATAAAGAGCGAATGATATACGGACATTTTAAAAACTCAAAATCTAATAGACAAAATTATATTAAAAGGGCAAAACTGAATATCATCTACTTATAATAATAATATTTATAATATTTTGAAATCTTATAAGATTGTGAAGATCGTGAATTTCTTTAGCTTATAATAATAACATTTAAAATATTATTAAATCTAAACCAGAAAGATTTATTTAAAATAAGTAGTCAAAAAAACAGAAAAGAACGTGATGATATTCAGTTTTGCACTCTTAAAATAATAATAAACACGTAAAAACACATGCAAAACAAAAACCAATTTTAATTTTTCTTACTTTTTAAGCACTCTACAACTCTTCAATTGTAGAACACTTCTAAATTCAAATAAGCATATTTTTCCTGCCAAAGACATGCGACTTGATTTAATGTCTGACAGTACTTTTCCTTTGTAGAAAGCAAGATAAAAAATGGTTAAAACATGTAAGAAACAAATGCAAGAACACAAGTTTTTCTAGTGTCTGTTCCTATCTCGGCGCTTGTGACTAATGATTAGCAGTGTTTTGAATCTTTTGCCAAGAGTTTTGCACTGCATGTGGTGGGAAGATGGCTGATAAGCAGAAAGTTGTTTGGACGAATTCCGCTAATTGCTGGCCGATAAGCGAAGTGTCCGAGGAAAGAGGAAATGTATGTAATTAATTCTGCCGCCGATGAGGGGGCCATAAAAGCGGGTGCTGAGCCGCCGGTTCCAGCCACAGTGAAATCGAATCTTGGCTAGCTGCAAGATGATGGACCTTAAGACTTTGGTCCTGCTAGCCGCATCTCTGGCCATCCTTGCCAGCCACACGTTTGCCGATCCAGATGAACTTGAGGAGCTTGAGGACTCGGAGTGTCCAGAGAATCCAGAGAATCCAGACAATCCAGACAATCCTAATAATGGCGGTGGCACTCGGGACGATGATAGTAGTCTATGTGCCAATTTCCAGCACATTCGCGGTCTGATCGATCAGGTGGCCCTGCGAGAACTGATCGATGTGCATTATAATTGTGACAAGAAATTCCGGCGTGCCATGCGATTCTATAATACCTCGGGCTTCGTGGCCGTGACCCAGCAGCTGACAAATACTTCTGCCTACCAAACCGTTCTTAAGCAACTCAATGCAGCCAGTGTGGATACCGCGGATATTACCACCGTGGCTGAGATATTCTACTGCATAATCCTGCCGGTTCAGAATCCAGCTAAAAAATGCAATTGCAAGGCTGTCAAGTGCCACACCTTCGTGAACGATCTGCTGAATTTAATGCCGCACCAGGCTGTCCATAACTATGTGGCATGGTCTCGGTTTAATCAGACTAATTTTGGCAATTTCACTAAGGCAGTGGTTTCCCAGGAGTTCCAGGCCACTCTGAAAGCCAATGTAGTAAGTAGATCACATTTTATTTCGCATTTGTACTTATCCAACCGACTTAAATAATGTCTAAAATTTTGTAAGTGCTTTAAGGACTTGCAAAAAAATGTAAAAGTAAAACAACTATTTTTTGGTATATTTCATTGAATTACTTTATTTTACTTTAAATAAGTTTTTAAGTGTTAATATGAATTGTAGCTATTTCTCGTATGTTTAAAATTGTAATTCAAATTGCTCCTCGAAAAAATTGATTCTCATTTAATGGTAAAGTCATTCTAATTTTATTTCTGTATAAAATTTAAACTATTACTTGAATATCGTTAAATGAATTATATTCAACACCACTATCAGGGAATAAAGTATAATAAGTATTACATATAATATTATAATTTTTTTCGGATATATTGTACCAATTTCTCAAAAAGAATGTTGCACATATAAATCAAATTAGTTGTTCTTACTTTTCACATTTATGATAGATTAAAGATGTATATTCATGATGTATAATGATTCCTTTGTTAACTTATTCTCATTCCAATTAACTTGCAGAAGAAGAGCGATGTGATAGTGCCATTACGCACCCTTCGCAAAAATGGCTGGGACATCCCGGAGCTGCTCCGCGCCATGTTGACCATTTTCCAGTGGTGACCGGTCCACTCGCCGTCCGTTTGAGTGTCTCGCTATTGTATGTAAACCCAATAAAGCAACAAGTGAAAGGAAACAGCTCCGAGGGGGCCCTTATGGTTTACACCTGTCCATTAAGAGCCTGGCAAGTGGGCGGCGCAATAACCACCCACTGTGCCCGGCAGGACATCAAAAGTTTTCAGGCGGCCCTTTCTTTTTCAGCACGCTCCATTTGTAATTTTCATCAATTTGTAACTGCAGCGGAAGTGTCAAGGAAGGAAGGATTCGTGTTGGAGATAATCAATCCATGATGTCCTTCGTGGGCCTCTGTTCCCTTTGTTCTCTTGAATTTGACAAAGTGAATTTTCTCCTAATTTTCCATTCAGGCCACTCATTTGCAGGAAAACTTGAAGCTGTCAAAGCTTGTTGAAACGGCTTAGCTACTATTTTCCTGAATTAATTTGAATTCATAGATGTTGACGATGTTGAACACACAGAGAAAAAGGGTTAACTAAAGTTTGTTGATAATTTAAAATAGTTTCCCTTTGGATAATATTTTGATGTTTTAACAGATTTTAAAACAAATGCAAATATAATACATATAAAACACTGTTTTCTATATCAACACTCTAAAAAAATGCAGAAAAATACAAAAAAAGTTCTTGACATTCAAAAAATAATGATAGATTTTACTCAGAATCGAACAAGATTGTTGTTAAAATAAAATTTAAAATGTCAGGAACAGCAGAGCAATTTGAAGTGTTAGTGCATTTAATATTATAAGCTTAAGTCATTTAAAAGTATCAAGTAGCTTCGATTTTTGTTTAGTAGTGGCAGACTCCTCCGACTTGAAGTACTTTCCTATTAAATGAAACCCCCCACTGCCACTTGGGAGTCCCAGCTGGGTATTTGATTTGCCATCAGTCCTGCGAACATATTTTAAGTCATCGAGGGGAGTGGCTTATCGGATGGTTATCAGGATTTGTGGGCTGCTCGGCGGCACTTGGCAAACGAATTAAGACTCGTTACACTTTCATAGCCTGGGCTCAATTTGCGAGCTTGCAGCTGGCGGAGGGCCACTCCTCCGACCACGAATATCCTTCAGCAAGGACTCCCTTACCTATGCAATCGTGCAATTTGAGCGGCACAAATGCCTGCTCATGGCAATTGATTTATGCCTGCGACGTGACTTCATTTCGGAACAGGATTCCGAAGGATGGGGTGCAGCACCTGTTGTCGTCTTTCCTCTTATTAAATTAACAAAATAACAACCTCACTGCTGAGTGTTTGGGTGTAGGCGTGCCTATCCTGGCCAGGCCAAATCCGATGCCATTATGCATTATAACTGTATAAACAAATCGTGTGCGTGCCAACCCCCACCGAAATACGTGCCTCGCACAGGAACAAAAAACACTCAAATCCTGGATCCTAGATACTGGATCCTGGACCATCCCCCGGCTCGTGTGTCAATCAAGTTAAATGTTAATGAATTACTCGGCATCGGTGCAAGGATACGCTGACAGGACCAAGAAGAATGAGACCGACAAGTTGTTTTTCTTTCCACACACTCTTGTTTACCTATTCTTCGTCGGCGGTTGGACTGTCTTAATGTTCACATCCTCAGAAGACTGTGATGACTTAAAGAGGCTTTGGTCAAGTATATGTAATATAAAAATAGAAAAAGTTGTTACCTTTTATAATTTATTTTATAAGAATTTAGCTCTGAATCAGCTATTTATTTTGGATTATAAAAAATAAAATATTAAAATACTTTGGTGAAAAAAAAACTACATTTGATTTTCTAAAACCTCATGAACTTTTAGTTTAGTTAATGTAAGGCTTAAGGGACAGTCAGTTTATTGTTAGCTTTTATGTTTAGATTGGCTCACTTAAATTGATAAATAGTCGAGTTTTATCCGAAAATTCTCTTGAAACAGATGCCAGAAATATAATAAATAATAAACTCTTAAAAACTTTTATTTCCTCATTTTAAATAGCCCTTTAAATTAAATTAGAAAATAATTAAATTATAAACTTATATAAATAAATATCTTAAAGATAATCAAACATTTTCAAGATTTTTGAACAAATATTTAAGAATAACTTTTTGAAAAATACATACAATACAAATGGACCAAACAACTTCTGAGCTTGAGTTTCTCAGGGGTAACCAACTGGTCGAACCTTCACCCTGAATCTTCACCCAACCAGCTTTCACTGCCACTGCCATGGTCAAAATGGAAAGACGTTTGCCTATCTGCTTGAGGGCCGTGAACCGTGAGCCGTGAGCCGCCTGTCGTCGTCCTTCTGATTCTGACTGTCAGCGAACAGGGGCGAAATAAATCGTTGCATACTTACGTGCGCAAACAATTTTCGCTCTTGCTTTCGCCTGCGAAAATCGGGGAACGCGACGGGCTCTACGTGTCATTGAATTCATTACGCTGTCAGTTCTCTTTTTTTTTGGTTTGTTGGGCGTATGCAGTAGATTAAACCAGCAAAAACAACAGCAAAGTAAAAAAAAAAAATACATGAAAAAATAGCTCAAGCTATTTGCATGTTGAAATAAAATAATTAATTAACGCTGCCGTTGGCTGAATCGTGATTTGGTTTCCAAACAACGCCGGTGTACTTGTGATGTGTGCAAATGATCCATCAACACCAGTCAAAAGGTCGAAAAATATGCAAATTGTTGGTTTTTTTTTCAGCACTGGCATGTTTGCATTCGACACTAATGACGATGTATGGCAGCTTTTATCTGTGAAAATAAATAAGAAACCGCGGGGAGATGCATATATCACTGATAACCTCAGCAATCCCTTTAAAATTAACCAATGTAATTAAGCTTTCAGAATAAATCCAATTATAAAATCATTTTAATGAATTATTGATCCACAAAAGGCAAATAAAAATTGTTCTCAAAGAGGTGGAAAATAATTAGTGCAAATGCGCACTGCGGTTAACCAATCTGGATTGCTTGGGAAAAGTAATTGTTTAAAAAATTCACATAAATGTATTATTTTTGGGGATTAAGAACCAATTTTTATTTAAATTTAGACTTCAATTTAAGTCTGATTATCTTCTGATACTAAACCATATGTTTAATATATCAACTTTTTAAGCTTAGGTCCGTTTTCCCATCTTAATTTTACACTAAATCCAGTTTGTAAGCTACAAAATACTAATGTACTTCTCACCCTATCATAAATAAGATCTATAAATTTGGAGATAATTCAGATTTATAGTGAATAAGCAGCGATGTAGAATAAATTATGCTTAAATTTTCTGCAGTTCCCTCACAACTGGCCTAAACAATCGGCCGCAAATTTCTCATTGTCAAGGCAACATTGCAATCGAATGGGAATTGCAACCAATTGTTGGCTTGATTTGCTCTGCAATTTTATTATGGTAACGAGTGCTGTTCCTTTCCTGCAACTCTGCAACAAATGAGATTTGAGTCGATTGATTTCCGCCAACAGTTCGGTTGCCAAGTGCAATATGCTGGCTCTTTTACCATCCAGGGTCTTCTTAACAAATCGAGTTTGTGGACAGTTTAAAGAGAGCTTTAAGGATATTTGTAATATCAGATACAAACTACTATGTAGGGTTAAATAGTTAAGTTATTGCCAGTAGGCTTTTTCCATGATCAAGTAATGGCGCATATCTTTTACAAGCTGTCATGATTAATATGACATCATCGATGAAATAATATTTTATTTTTCTTTATTGGGTTCTTATGGCCTTTGTTTTTACAAAGCTTTGGACCCTTCTTCTTTCCGATTTCCATTACCTACTCTTGCTCTTTGTTCTGTACTATTGGGAATTCGAGATGTCCTGAAATGCGCTAAAATAATGTGTTTCGTTGATAAAACTTTTCCCACTCAATGCTCTCATAACACTTCAGATTTATGGTCCGTGCTATCGGTGCTCCGTAGCTCTCCCTTCGGCGAATTGGGTAAGTGAAACCGCACGGGCCAACGGCCATAAATAAATGTGGAATATCAGCTAGCAAATCTCATTACGTGGACCCCGGCCATCTTGGCCGGCGAGAATCGATGAAATTTTCCATCTGCGAAACCCAATCCCGACCAGAAGCAGCTTATCTTCGGTTGTCGATTGGTCAGAGGAGTGCATATTCCCCAGATAAATAATACATTGCACTGCAAGATTTCGATGTGGCAATTGGATCGGCTTCACACACTTAACGAGCGTGTTTAAGTGAATTTTGCGGTTGCCAATAATGCATAAATTAATAGCCTTCAATTCCGCAAAAAGAAAGGTCGAAAACGGATACAGCTGTTATTGGAATTGCTCTTCGTCGTTTTAACAACGTCGGCCAAAAGTTTCCATTTAAAAAAGGCAACCAGCTGAAAGAATGAGATTTACTTCACAAAAGAACCACACAGATGCCTGAATACTCTTAAACGATTAACTATAGTTTTACTGAATGAAAGTAAAAGTCCCATGTTTAAAGTATGGCTTGCGAAAAGTATTTTTCAATTATTTCATGATAAATGAGGCTTGGCCAAATAAAATTTGCACGACTGTAAATTGGTTAAATTGATTTAAAGCTTTATGCTCGAAAATATCTGCAGGCGAATTGCCATCAGTTATTTGCACTTATTGTAATGTATGGCAGGGCTTTAATTTTCAGCCAGCATAATTGCCCAGTTAAATTCCATAAATGTTTTACAAGTGAAATAGCATCAATTGGCAGCAAGCCAATGCATTTACCACAATGTAATTTCCACCAAGCGGACAAAGGGACAATGGAAAAAATGTGCCTTTTCTGAAGTTTCGACTGGACATGTAGAAGTAATTATAATGGAATTGGAATCTTTGGCAAATATTCTAATTATCAGTTGGATGCACACTTCCATTCACAAGGCATTGAAATAGTTTTTGCCCCGGCACATTTGTAAGATGAGCTTAAGTTTGGCAACTCCAGCCAGCAGGAATATTATTATTTTTTCTGTTGACTCTTATCTCAGTTGCCAACTATTTTCCCTTGGCTTTGGGAAAAGCGTTTCACCCCCCCTTCCCCAAACTCGGCTTGTGGCCTCTAAAGTAGCCATGCGGGCGTTGCTTTCCTAACCAGCG